TGAGGTGTCAAAGTGGGTTCCATCCCTCAGTTAGGCTGCAGGGCTTTGGCACAGGGATTGCCTCTCCCGTGACATCCGCACAGAGCCGGGCTCCCAGGCCCCGCGAGCGATGGGGGCCTAGAGCCGTCGGGGCTGTAGGAAGGCAGAGGGAGAGTCCACAGCACAGCCGAGGTTTATTACTACCGGCGTCCCCAGCAGCAATAGTGCAGAGTGTCTGTGGCGCTTAGGTGCCAAACTTCTTCTGTTGGACAGGGGGCGGCAGCTGCGTCTTGATGTCCATCAGGGGCCGCTCCACCACCACCAGGCAGCCGTCCTCCAGCAGGTCCACAAACAGCAGGGGCTGCAGGGCAGGAAGAGGGGGACATGCAGGGGAGGTTTCAGGCCAGAAACCCCAGCAGCAATAGTGCAGAGTGTCTGTGGCGCTTAGGTGCCAAACTTCTTCTGTTGGACAGGGGGCGGCAGCTGCGTCTTGATGTCCATCAGGGGCCGCTCCACCACCACCAGGCAGCCGTCCTCCAGCAGGTCCACAAACAGCAGGGGCTGCAGGGCAGGAAGAGGGGGACATGCAGGGGAGGTTTCAGGCCAGAAACAGCTGGGCACAGAGGCGTCTCAGAGGACACCACGCCACGGCAGAGAGGCCCGGCAGGCAGAACTGGTCGGGGCCAGCTGCAGGCGTGGCAGGCTCCGAGTTACGCCACAGGCTAGCCAGGAACACGCCAGCCCAGCACCAGAGCCTGGGGAGCGGAGCCCCTGCCAGCGCCGCCCAGGGCCAGGAGTTACACATGACTCCTGCGGCGGGCGGCACTTTTCAAGTGTGCGTGTGTCCTGCCAGCATCGCGCCCCCTCTGAGCGCTGGCTGGCCCTGTGGGGAGCTGGGCCAGGGCAGCTCCTGTGGCTGATCTCACCCCTGCCTCCACTGCCTGACAGGGAAGGGGCGTATCCAGCCTGGGCCAGGCCGCCGGAGCAGCTGTCACTCCCACCCCCGCAACATTGGCATCAATGCAGCTCCCTGGCGCCGTGCGGCCCTTTCCAGAGCCATTGGCGAGCTGGGCTCGTTAGCCCTGGAGCCTCGGCTCTGGTCTTCATCCCCAGGGAAGCAAGCGTCTCTGCGGCTCTCAGCACCAGGCGATGCCTCCCCCGGTCCCGTGCCAGGCCGCAGGGGCGAGCAGTGGGCCCAGCAGGCAGCCATCCGGCCCTCCCCTCCACCCGCTCACCTGGTACTTTTTGCAGATCTTGAAGGCGTGAGCATGGCCCCGCCTGGCTTTCTCCGAGAGCTGCTTCAAGGCCGTCTGATTCAGCAGCGGGGTTGCATCATCGGGGAGGGGCTGGGGAGAAAGCCCACACTGTCTCAGCCGCCCAGGGACTCAGCAGCCTCCCCCTTCTTCCCGCTGCTGCCAGCCAGCCTGGGATCCCACAGGGGGGAGGTGCTGGCCGTGGTGGGACCCCCGGGTGCAGCACTCACTCGAGATCAAAGCTGCCCGGGCCCCGCCCATCGGCACGGGCTTTCGAGAGAGGCCGCTCACCCGTCCTGCCCACAACAGAAGGCGCCCCTGTCCCAGGCAGGTGCACGCCCCGCGCAGCGCCCGCCCGCCGGCTGCCTCCACTCCCAACAAACCAGCGCACAAACATCCCGGGTCTGCCCGGCGTGGGACAGGCCCAAGTGGCGCCCCTGCCAGCCACCCTAAGGCTGAGCACTTCAGCGGCCACAAGAGCCACTTTGTAAGGGTCACCCTGCCCCAGGGGAAGCCAGGGTTAAACCCGGCCCCGGGAGAGGGCGGGGGCTGTGGAGACAGCAGCTAAGGCAGGCAGCAGCCAATCAGGGCCCAGCTGGGGAAGTATAAATAGGGGCTGCTGAGGAGCAGGAGAACACTAGCTGCCTGGCAGGCTAGAGAGGGGGCCTGAGGCAGAGCCAGGCTGGGGAAGAGCAGGCCAGTCCGAGGCACCAGGGATCCAGGGAGGCAGCAGGCCTGCACCCAGTTGCCATTGAGTGGTCATTCAAGACTGGAATGTGCCCGAGGCCGGGGCTAGAGGGTGCCCAGCCGTGGTCGCTGAGGCAAGGTGGATGCAGGAATTTGGGGTTCCCTGGGAGGGGAGGATGCCAGAGGGCAGGGGCACTGCAGCACGGGAAGGCCTCTGGTGACAAGGCACCCAGGGAACAGCCCTGCCTCTACCCCACACGGAGCAGGGCGGGGCGGCTTTGCTCCCCAGCGCCGCCAGGGCTCACCAGCGACTTGTCCAGGATGCAGAACATGTGCGTGTCATGGAGGAGGATGTGGGCGGGCTGCCGGGGGTTGAAGGTGATGTGGGTGATGGGCGTGTCGCGCTCCAGCCAGCCCCTGTGCAGCCCATACTGCTGCACCTTCCTGCTCCAGGCGGTGTACTCTCTGTCGGGGATGCTGAACTCAAACACCTGCAGAGCGCGGGGCAGGGCGGGAAGAGGTGAGATCCCGTCCCCCGCCAGGGCCCTGCTAGCAGCCAGCACCAGCCGCAGCACACAACCCCGGCCCCGGCAGGCTGCACGCGAGGCAGTGGGGCGGGGACCCGCCGCGCCTGCCCTG